GTTGACGCGCGAGACACTCTGGCGGCTCGGCGAGCGCCCGGCTGCAGTTACGGTCCGCGGAGCGACGGACGACAACGACGACGACGCGGCGGCTATAGCATAGGTACGGACGCGGGCAACGATTCCGCCCCGACGGTACCAACGATGACGATGACGGCGATGGCGACTCGCTTCGACGGCAACGGCAGAGACTTTGGCACGGGGTGAGTCAGTGGTGTAGAGATTATATGTGTTAGGAACATGGACGTGAGCGGCGCCGGACCCGAGGGAACTCAGGCTAGTTAGGTTAGTTAACTGGTCCGGCGGCGGTCATTGGACGAAGACGCGGCTGAAGGGACGACGCCAGGACGAAAATTACCGGGAGTCAAGGATCCGATGACTCTCGCCTTTTCATCCCGCGGCAATCCCACATCGGCAAACTGTTCCGCAGCACAAAATCTCTGTTCACTCTCTCCGCGTGTCTATTGGTCTTCGCCGTCCGTCGCAGAGTCGTCACCGTCAACAACCGTTGACGCGCACGACATCGCGCCCTATAGCCGCCGCTCGTCGCCGTCAACCGTAGTTGCTCCCGCGTGGCCGTCTCGGTCTGGCCTCGCCAGCTGGGCAAGGTCGTCACGCGTCCGAGCAAACGCGCCCGTGACACTCGTCAACCTGGTGGACCGGTCGTGGGGACGTGCAGAGGTGACCAGTGGCCACATCATTGCATATCCGCACCAAATCGCCATCCCGTATCCTCCCCTCCTAGTTTATTGTGTCTCCTGTCCATCGTATTTTTTTTTCCATTTAAATTTTCTTTACTTATATCGAATAATATTGACTTTATAAATTTCGGCTTTTTCTTTTTTGTTCTAACTTTTTTTTGAACATACAAAATTGTATAATATAACGGCAACCGTTTCTAAAATTGTTTCCGTTTTTTAAATTATATTCAAAATTAAAAATGTCATATTGTTTTTGTTCGATAAATAAAAAAAAAATGTGTGAATACAAAAAACTATTGTTGCTTTTTTCGTATTGTCGAGTGTATAAGTCAATTTTTACAATATAATAAAATATTGACTTGAGTTGTAATATTCTAATCTGAACAAATTTTGTAACTATTACTGTACTTGGAAATCACTTTTCGACGGTATGAGTGTTTTGACAGTAAGTTGTACAATAATATAATTATAGGCATAACCGCACAATAAGTGGTTCGACCTTTATCGAGTACCGAGTGGAAAGTGTAATACATTTGCTAGGTATATAACATAAATTCTCAGACATGGCCACAATAATATTATTCTATATTGTCATCACTCGTCATTATTTGTCGGTAATGTTTTCTTCCATACCATGTTTTAGAACAATTTTCAAGTCACAATAAAACAAAAAAAAAATCATAGCACATTCCTATCGTAATAATATTATAATAATTATAATATGTATAATAATATGTATTATAATATGTATTAATTAAAAATGCTTTAACTAACTATTAAGATTTCCTATGTATCGTTAGAGTGGATATTATTAGCTGTCGTGAGTCTATTTTGGTACTCATATAACCCTATAGATAATATGGGCCATGAGTATTAACATTGCTTATAATGATTAATGATTAATTAATGAGCTCGTAGACGCCTATACCTGTAGGCTGTAGTAGGTATAGGTATATAAACTTAAAACCTTCATCATATGGGAAATAAGCGAAGGTGTACAATACCGTAAGGCGTAAATATATGCAAACAAATTTTCATTAATTAAAACGTGACAAAATGTACATAAAAAATATGCAAATTGGTTATATTTGTAGAAATAAATTTACATAAATGGGTATGGTTATCTATCTATATAGATTGCAGGATGAAGAATGATCAATTTTATTACGAATAGGTTATTTGCATACTTTCTTTGTTTTTGATATTTATAATTATAATTATAATTTATTTATATGTATCAATGCCATTAAAGCCTGGGTTAGAAAACGATTTATTGAACTTAATGCTTATAAATCTAAATTTATGTTTTTTCATATAAATAATTCTAAAGTCCCTACACGTAAAATAGAAAATTTTATGCTCAGCAGATCATACTTGATAGCTCCGTTAGTTTAAAGATTAGACTTCTCATAAAATTTAATGGTGAAATTATTATCTAGGGCGTCTCATTAGCTTTTTATTATATTTTAGTTTTAAAGTGAATTATGAGTATTTCAAAATTGTAAATTGCTCATACATCTTAAAATACTCATTATGTTATTACGTTGTTTACTGCTATTACGTTTAGACAATAATTTCGACAATTTCGGTAATGGTTGGTACTTGATAATCTATTTTTTATATATGTTTGAATCAGTAATATGTATTTAATTACAAAAATCTAATTTAAATACGAGTCTTAAAAGGATAGAAAAAAAATCTAAATAGAATAAAAAGATTAGCTATATAAAAAATGTCCAATTTAAATATAATAATTCTACATTGAATAAAAAAATCTATAGGTATTAATAAAAAAATCTAATTGGATAAAAAAGACATCTAATTTGAATAGAAAATCTTACTTGAATTTTTTTTAATCATTTAACATTTTTTTATTCAATGTTTATTTATTTTATTTTATGTGACCTTTTTTTATACAGCTGATATTTTATTCTATTTAGATATTTTCTATTCTTTTAAGACTTATTCAAATTAGATGAACACAAACATTTTTGGTTGGGTAGCGAAACTCTTGCATCCTCGACGACTATAAAAATGGGTTGGGTTTCCAAAATACATAGAATGGATTTCAAGTACCACCTGTATCACAATCACATCTTTAGTGTATTAATGTAAGTCCATTTGTTGAGTCTCAAACATTTTTTTTTATAAGTAAAAATGTTGAAAACTTACAAAATAAAAATTATTTTCTAATCCAAAAGGGTATCGGTTTTTCTGGCATACCAAATGTTTTACGACTATAGAGGTTAAAATTATTACGTGGATATTTATAGTCGAATTCGCACAAACTAATGGAGTTAATTTTGTTTTGAAATTCCGAAGTGGGGGGGAGGGCACGAAGCTCACTTTGTTGCAAGTAAAAAATTACAACTCTTGTAAAAAATTGTAATTATTCAACTACTTTTGGGTGTAGGTAACTCGTTGCATTAAGTGCCACTCAGCCACCCTGGTAGCATTTTTTTATACAAACTTTCAACACATAAATAATGAAGTCATGGACTCCACTCAACTTTTACTTGCAATTAATGTATTAGTGGGCTTATGTCAATGGGCTTAGTTTTTGAAACTTTTAATTATTTTTATCTTTGGGAAGGCATAAAATGTTACAATTATGATTTAAGGCCAATGTAATTTTACTACCTAGACTAAAATTCAAAAAAGTGAAAACTTATTAGATTCATTAAAAACAATTCACTTACGAAATATTACAGTATAAATAAGCAAACTAATTCTATTCGATTAACTATTTGCACACTGCACACAAAACAATATATTGTATTCTCCTTATTAGCAAGCACAGTATTAACACTAGTATTTATTTACTAGCCAACATAATATAATATAAAGTGTATGTACGGCATGTACCTACTACCTACCACCTACGTATAAAGAATGTAGCCACACACGATCCTCTCTCCGAGCCAAGTTTATACCAATGCTACATCTTATAATATATAATTAAATGAAATAGTTATATACATTACTGAATACCAGTTACTAATACTTAAAATCACATCCTTTATTCCATTGCCCCCTTCATCATGAAATTTTCGAAATAATAAATACGCCAGTCACGAGCTATTACCACATCTCTATTAAAATTCTAACTTTATGTTATAAATCATAATATAGAATAAGCTTACTCTAATAGGTACCTACCTAAAAGTTGTAGATATACCTAATTAAAATATAAAATAAATTAGTTTATTTTTAAATTTTAATAGAATCTTAAAATTAACATAAAACTGCAAAATACAGGCTTTTGATAGGTATCAAGAAAATAAAAATAAAGAAAACTCATAATAGGCACCTAATCAGTAATCATATTATATAAGTAGGCAGTAGGCGTGCATTATAAAATATCCAGATCGTACTATAATATTCTAAAAAAAATGTCAACCACCTACTTTAAAATTAAAATAAGTGAATTTTGTTTTGCTCTACCTATAGCCTATTTCCTATATGAAGAAATAAAAACTAAGTAGATACTAGATAGGTACTTTGGAAGTCAAACTGTAAAGATACAATTTAATCAGTAGGTAAGTGGTAATTATATTGAAAATCACACAAATTGAAATTTTATTTCATAAGCTACAGTAGGTATGCGTTTTTAATAATAAAGTTTATAATTTTTATAGTTCTACATATTAATATTAATTCACAATATAATATTTAAACAATAAGCAATATTTAATTGACAAATTAGAATGTTTGATTAAGTTATTTCTAAATTTTTTTGAAAAAAATAAATAATTTCTTTCTTTGAATACATAAATTAATTAATTTCCAAACAAAATAAAATATGTCATCTTCCAGTTTTTCTTTTTTTGACGTTATCCAATAAGACAATATTCAACAGCCTAAGAAATTATAAGCATAAACAGTAATAGTAATGTTATTGCTGTAAGTAATAAAACTAAAAATTGAATACAAAACAGTCAACATTATAGCTGCATAAGAGCTTGATCTCTAAATACGAAAATAGGCCTTTTTAAAAAATCAACTTAAAATTATATTATATGGGTTACAGGTAACCACAATATACAAATCAATATTTGGGTGAACCTATGACTTAACTAAAAAAGTAAAAGGCAATAAGGCATAATTTAAAAATATATAATAATTATAACATAGATATATTTATTTTTTAGGGGAAATGGTATAAAATGTATTAAAATCAGTTGGAAATGATAGATTTTACATAATATGAGGAAAAAAAGCAAATATAAATTAAATACAAAATTAATATAAGCTATTTGTAAATATACTCAAGTCTCAAATTGCTTACTTACTTTTGAATTATTTAATAAATTTAGGTTGAAGATTAGGAGAAGGAGCAGTAAAAACAACAGGTGAATTTGGTTTAGTCCAGTCAGTTTTTTGGATATTTGTAGGTTTAATTTTTTTCTGAAAATACACATAGTTAAACAAATATTAATTATTCATTAAACGATGAATTAAAACATTATTAAACAAATACGTTTTTACTTGAGATAACTTAATATCAGCAGGTATTTTAAATTTTTTCTTCGCAGCAGGAATCAAACTAGCGTTTAAGGTTGATTTAACTTGACTTGTATTACTCAAAATGCTCATGTTACTTTTTATTTGATGAGGACTTGCAGAAGAATTATAATCAACATCATCATTTACATTTAGGTTGTACTCATTTGTTTTCTATTAATCATAAACACATATTTTGAAAACAATAACAAAAAATTTGTACAAAAATGTGTATATCTAAAAAATTATAATAGATGACGTAATATGTATTTTAAACTTTTAACAATTGCGATAATTAATTTAATATTTAGAATTGTTTTTCTTTTCTACTATGAAACAATTTTATCTTATTGTCATAGGCCAAACAAATTACTATAATAAAAAAGTAAATAAATACATCTTTGATAAATTATTATTTTTTATTTTTTTTGGCCAAAGCTTCATGCAAAACTTAGAGATGGAAAAAAAGCTTTAAATGTAATACATGGTTCCTTATGTTCTTAATATTTAAATTTAAAAGAAGGTGGGAAAGTTTGTGATGCTCTGATCTATAGTAGGTTACAAGTGGGCCACTGTAATGGATAGTGTTAAACTTGAATTCAATGATATATCATTGTATACGAAAAATGATTCGCTGATGAGCTTTTGAAAACTATTGAGAATTGTAATAATCTCCCAAATGCACCAGCTAGATTCACTTCCACTTTTATGATTATGTATTTTAAAAATTCCTAAGACATCCCAATAAAGTACTAACTAGATTCAAATCGCTACCAGAAACCTTCCTCAAAGTTGATGATCGGAGAATATTTTTTGCTAAGTGTTTTTAGACACATATTTTTTTTCTAATAACACATCTTTGTAAAATCAATACCAATATTTAAATAATTAAACGTGATACTTAAATTTAATCACCTCTATTGTATTAGCATTTTTGTCTTCGTGTTTTAAATTAATACTTTTAAATGATGAGTTTAATGAATTCTCAATTTGGCTTACATCATTTTTTTGATTTAAAACATCTGATGAAATTTCTGTTATCTGCATAGGTAGTATAAAAGTATTACATAATATAATTGTTTAATAAGCTTTTTGCCATATGGGAGTATTATTGAAAAATCTTGTTTCTAGAATCTTATTAACTTGGGTAAATTATTTTTTTTTATGATGATGGCCTATTTTATTTTGTTAATTTATATTTTAATACACTGTTGGTAATAATATTGAATTAAAAAATATATAAAATAATTAATATTGATTACAAAATTTAAATAGTGAATAGGTCATCCAAACACAGAAAAATCAAAAATGTTTAATATATTCATAAGGGCCAAAAGTACATTATTATGAATTATAGTTAAAATGTACATAAATGAAAATTACTATGTACTTTTGACTAATTACTTATAACCAGGGCTCGTAACTTCATGCACTAAAAAATGCATAAATAAGCATGCATTCATGCACTAAAAATTGTCAAAATATCCATTAAAATATGCACTTAAAAGTTCGAAAATATGCATTTATATGCCTTCACATTTTTAAATTATGAACTCAAAATATGCATTATGTAAAAAAAACATGACCAAATTTTAAAATAATAAGAATAAATCCATACATTTTAAAAGTATTTTATTCCTTTTTATTTTAATATATTTAACAGTCAAAATTAATAAAATAAAAAATAAAATGAATACTTGTGAAGTTCAAATAGCTTTGACATCTTTATAAATTTTAATTAGGACTTAGGTAGTCATTTTTGTCTAATTTGTGTACACCCTTATTCAGCACCAACAATGAAAACATTTGGAATTAAATATTAGGTTTTTCATTTTGAGATAATTTAGTAATATATATTTTATAAGTGTATTTTTTATTTTTTCCAACTTAAGAGGGCGCACTAGTTGACAAAATATGGCATAAAACCATGGTTTCGTAATTCAAGTAATACGGTTTATTGAAGTAGTTTACAGTAAAAATACCTATTATAAAAATTGTAGAGTAGAACTTTTTTTACAATAGTAAGAAGCCCGATTTTCGATATTTTTATTAATTAGCTAAATAATTAATCAATAAAAAATTTAAAAAACCGTTATAATTTACCATGCGATATTGGACGATTGTAACAAGATATCAAAAATCGGAAAAAACTTTTCAAATATTTGTCTAAAAAATATTTTTATGAAATAATATGCACTAATGACTGTAAAAAATCAACTATTTGCCAAATATGACTTTACACCCAAAACATGCAAAAACATGCACTATCAAACTTCATATTATTATTACTATTGTTATGAAACGGATTTGTATCACAGTGTAACGTGGTCGGGGATGGCCCGTTAAATATAAGATATTCAGAGAAGAAATTAATTCTTTTGAATATATTTTTACCGTAGCTCGGGAGCACGAATGGTATTAGGATCTTAATATTACAAATAAATAACGATTGATCTAAATTATTATTAATATAAACAAATTATTTATTATAACTTACAATTTACGAACAAAGTTACCAAAAATGTAGGATTGTACGGAGTTCAGGTGCACGTGATGGACTCGCGGAGAACTGGTATTCTCTTACATAGGGATATTGGCCGGAGCCTTACAATCATAAAATATATATGTGTCACCTAAACCGGAGGGGCTTAATATATTATTATAGTCAGCGCATAATATGCCTAATGTGCATATTATGATGCTTATAAAATAAACGTAATGATGTAACATACGTTACAACAGTTAGCATGTTTTCCTGTGTAGCAAAAAAAACATGCAGATGCATGAACTTACGAGCCCTGCTTATAACAATAGCATTTGAGAACCTTTGTAAACTTACATGTGAGGCAGCAACATCAACAGATGTTATATGTTTCTTCACTTTCTTCATAAGCATTTAAAGTTCAAAAAGGTGGGCAAGTGGGTGTCGCTATGCTGTACAGTAGGTTACAAGTGGATCACTGTATAATGGATGGTATTAAATTTGAATTCAACGATATAATATCATTGTATAAGAAAAACGATTCTGAGCGGAGACGAATGCCAGTCTAGGTTTAAGACATATTATATACATATCTATGGACTATGGTATTTTAAAAAATATTGACCTATAATAAATTCCAAATTAATCATATCACAATAGCCATTAGGTACTTATAACTTGTTATACATAACAACAAACCATGATACTATCATAGATATATAATATATACTATAATATACTAATAAAAAAATTGTTGATATGTATTTTTAATATTTTTCAACTGATATTGTAACAATATATCATGAGCCTTGTATTAAATTTTTACATTTTTTGGCCCAACAGCTAAAACTTTATTGATATTTATAGAAAAAAAAACTAAAAAAATTGAAAACTGAAAATGTCCGTAAACAGCTCAAAAATAGTCAAAATATTTTAAAAATTGTATGGCGTATAGGAAATTCTAATATAAATATTTAGTGAAATTTTCATGTATCTACAGTTATTCGTTTTTGAATTACAACAAAATAAGGAAATCGCTACATGAGAAATCGAGTGAATATCCAATATTGTAAGGATTTGAATTTCAAACTCTCATAAAAATTTAATTTGACTTTCTTATAGACATTTATTTCTTGATAAAAGTAGATAATCTTATAAGGAATTTTGTATCACATTTTTAAATCTTAGATTTAAAAAGAAAAATTATTACGAATTCTTAACTTAAAATAATTTGCTAATTTTCGTGATCTTTCCATATTTTGTCAATTTTTGAACTTTAAGTGCTTAAAAAAAAAATGTGACTTAGGATTTTTAATATTTTTCATTTGCCTTTGAAACAATATACTCATAGTCTTCTATTTAATTTTCAAGCTTTTTTAACCAACAAATAAAATGTTATTGATATTTTTAGAAAAAATCTAAAAAAATATGGAAAATGAAAATGTTCCTTAACAGTTCAAATCAAATCATAATATTTTGAAAATTTTATCGTGTATAGAAAATGCTAATATAAACATTTAGTCAGCATTTCATGTATCTACGGTCATTTATTTAAGAGTTGCAATAAAACCAAAATTGATTTTTTCGAAAACAGATTTTGCGTAGATTATGTAACAGATTATGTGTACAAATTCCCGTTTTATTTTAATTTTTCTTTTGTTTTTCACTTTCGAAAACTACTATAAAAATTATACTTTTGACCCCCCCAAAGTACCAAAATTCCATTAGATGGATAATTACGAACGTTTAGATGATTTTATAAGATTTCGCAGAATTTCTGGCAGCGAGGTCATACATTAGTACATAACACATATTACGTATATATTCATATTCACATCTAAGTTATTAAATTAATTTGGATGGGGTAACCTCGTTTAACTACATTTACGATAGTAAAAAAGTATTTTATGATTGACTATCAATTATCATGATAATAATAATGAATATTGAGGGGGGAAAGTACGCAGAGTAGTCAAGTGCCTACCGTGACTACCCTGTGAGCACCACTGCGAGTATTATTTTATATTATACAATTGAGGTACTTTATGAAACACATTTATATATTATATCATATTGAAATCAATTCGATTATAATTGTCGAGTTCAACAAATAGAACAATTTAACTAACCAAAAAACCTAATTAAACACAAACTTATTTTCAAAAGTTTTTTTTTATATAAATATCAAAAATAAAAATAGACCGCTCGGTCACTCCGTCCCCCATATTATACGATTATTATACCTGTTAGGTATTATATTGTATTACCACTGGGTATCCTAACTAATCGCATGATTCATGTTAACCTTTTATTATTCACTTACCAAACCTACTTATTGTACAAAAATTAATGTATAGATTGTAGATTTATTTCAATAAAAAATAAAAATATTATATGATAATATAATCACTAATTAATAAATGCGTAACTAAAAAAAATATAATTAATCAAAATATCTATAGGTATTGCAGGGTACACACCACAGGACTTTTTTTTTATCCTGGCATGATTTTGTTGGAGGCACAGTCTGCCGGGGGGGGGGGGGGAAGTGCCCACCCGGCCCCCTCGTAAACACGCCTATGTTCACAATAATATCATCAAATATACTTAGTAATATTATAGGCTGACTGACCGTTTTCGCTCAGAATCGTTTATCTTATACAATGATATTATATCATTGGATTCAAATTTAACACCATCCATTACAGCGATCCACTTGTATACTATTGTACAGCAGAGCGATTTTTTAAAACGATAATATTACCCAATGGCCAAACAAACGTTTCTATTATCAATTTTATTTTTAGGTTCGAACGTCTATAGGAACGACAATAATAATACATTAGCACATCATATTTTTATAAAATATCAATATGTATCCGTAAAAATATTACCTACTTAGAAAAGTAAAAATTCTTGGATTTTCTTCAACAATATCTTTTCTGCCAGCAAATTGAATTAATCAGGTTGGTACTTTGGGGGGGTCAAAAGTAAAAATTTCCCAGTAGTTTTCACAAGCACCGTGAAAAACAAAAGAAATATCTATTATTAATTTTATTTGAATTATTATGAGTATTTAATCTATAAAAATCCAATTTTAGACAAGTAATTTATTACCTAGTACCTGATTAATAACACTTATAAATATTTACATTTTTAAGAAATTGTTGTTTTTAGTGACATAAATGGTGTAAAAAAACGTTCAAAGTTAACTCCTAAAAAAAATTTTGAAGGGGAGTGTTGGCGCCCGCTGGCAAATGCATTTAAGAAAACAAAAAAAAATTTTTGAAACAATTATACAATAGGACCACATATTGAAGAGTTCAAACTAAAATATCCAGAATATTTAACAGAAAAAACAATTATTGACAATGATAAGCTCATTGAAGAATGATAATACAGAGGGCACCTGCAGTTTATCAATATTCAAGTCTGTGCAAAAAGTTCAACTAGACTCAAATTCCTAAAGAAAAAATTGAAGGGGAGTGTTGGCGCCCACAGGCAAATGCATTTTGGAAAAAGCAAAAAAAAATTTAGAAAAAATTATACAGTAGGAAAACAAATTAAAGAGTTCAAATAAAAATATCCAGAATCTTAAACAGAAAAAAAAATTGACAATGATAAGCTCATTGAAGAATGATAATACAGAGGACACCTTCAGGTTATCAAAATTCAAGTCTGTGCAAAAAGTTCAACTAGACTCAAATTCCTAAAAAAAAAATTGAAAGGGAGTGTTGGCGCCCGCAGGCAAATGCATTTTAGAAAACATAAAAAAAATTTTAAAAAAATTATACAATACGACCACATATTGAAGAGTTCAAACTAAAATATCCAGAATCATAAACAGAAAAAACAATTCACAATGATAAGCTCATTGAAGAACGATAATACAAAGGAAACCTGTAAATTATCAATATTCAAGTCTGTGCAAAAAATTTAACTAGACTCAAATTCCTAAAAAAAAAATTGAAAGGGAGTGTTGGCGCCCGCAGGCAAATGCATTTTAGAAAACAAAAAAAAAAAAAAATTAGAAATTAAACAATAGGCCCACACATTAAAGAATTCAAACGAAAATGTCCTGATTCTTAAACAGATAACACAAAACAAAAAAAAAATTAGAAGAAATTAATCAATAAGACCACACATGAAAGAGTTCAAACCTAAATGTCCAGAAACTTAACAGAAAAAACTAATCAAAATGGTAAGCTCATTAAAGAAAGATTATTCATAGGGCCCCTGCAGGTTATCAACGTTCAAGTCTAAACAAAATATTTAACTAGAGTTAAATAACTAAAAAAAAAAATTGAAGGGGGGTGTTGGCGCCCGAAGGCAAATGCGTTTTAGAAAACAAAAAAAAAAAAAAATTAGAAATTATACAATAGGGCCACACATTAAAGAATTCAAACGAAAATGTCCAGAAACTTAAGAGAAAAAACTATTCAAAATGATAAGATCATTAAAGAAAGATGATTCATAGGACACATTCACGTTATCAATGTTCACATCTTAACAAAAAATTTATTTAGTGTAAAATAACTAAAAAAAAAAATTGAAGGGGGATGTTGGCGCCCGCAGGCAAACGCGTTTTAGAAAACAAAAAAAAAAAATTAGAAGAAATTAAACAATAGGACCACACATTAAAGAATTCAAACGAAAATGTCCTGATTCTTAAACAGATAACACAAAACAAAAAAAAAATTAGAAGAAATTAATCAATAGGACCACACATGAAAGAGTTCAAACCTAAATGTCCAGAAACTTAACAGAAAAAACTAATCAAAATGGTAAGCTCATTAAAGAAAGATTATTCATAGGGCCCCTGCAGGTTATCAACGTTCAAGTCTAAACAAAATATTTAACTAGAGTTAAATAACTAAAAAAAAAATTGAAGGGGGGTGTTGGCGCCCGAAGGCAAATGCGTTTTAGAAAACAAAAAAAAAAAAAAATTAGAAATTATACAATAGGGCCACACATTAAAGAATTCAAACGAAAATGTCCAGAAACTTAAGAGAAAAAACTATTCAAAATTATAAGATCATTAAAGAAAGATGATTCATAGGACACATTCACGTTATTAATGTTCACATCTTAACAAAAAATTTATTTAGTGTAAAATAACTAAAAAAAAAAATTGAAGGGGGATGTTGGCGCCCGCAGGCAAACGCGTTTTAGAAAACAAAAAAAAAAAATAGAAGAAATTAAACAATAGGACCACACATTAAAGAATTCAAACGAAAATGTCCTGATTCTTAAACACATAACACAAAACAAAAAAAAAATTAGAAGAAATTAATCAATATGACCACACATGAAAGAGTTCAAACCTAAATGTCCAGAAACTTAACAGAAAAAACTAATCAAAATGGTAAGCTCATTAAAGAAAGATTATTCATAGGGCCCTTGCAGGTTATCAA